TTTTCTCAGACATATGACATTTGACAATTTGACATAAACAATAAACATAAACATAACAAGGGACTATTATAAGCTGTTGAATTTAATTGGATTAAAAGAATTATTTTAGCATTAAAATTTGCTATTATAATAATTAAATATTTTTAGTCAAGTTTTAAAATAAAAAGAAAAAACATTAACATGGTGGGTAAAAATAATTCATTGTTCCATTGTCCTAAACTCCAACAATTCCAAACATTGTCCAACAGGCAATTTGGAGGCATAAACAGCTACAATAATTTCTTAAGAATGAACCCATATTGTTTTTGAACAACTTTTAAATCACATGGAATGAAAATTCTATAAAAAAACAACAATGTTCTTGAAGATTCCCATCAAACTCAAATTAATAATTGAACATATTTAGTTATTGATGAATATTTCAGAGGCTTAATGTATTCCTTCAAAGCTTTTGAGCTTTTGCAATTATATTTATGAATAATTACCAGAAGAATAGTATTATGTATGTATTAATTTAATTTGTAATGAATGATAATCTTTTAAAACCTCTATTTTAGGTATCAAATACAGCAGCTAAAGATGAAAATATCTGCTGAATATGAAGAAAATTTGACTTTGTCAAATTCATTACTCTAAATTCTACCCTAATTATAACATTTTGCATCTAAATGATGGTGCTAATTATAGAATGAATATCAGATCTTGAGAATCAGCTTCTTAATAATATATCTAACAGAAACATATACAAGGAGGATTGAAATCAATTCCATATTTGATGTGGTTGCTTTTCCTTTGTCAATACACACTTTCGGATCTGTAATATGACAAATGAGTACACATTTTAATCATATGTTAAGCAGAGCCAGATGTGCCACAGAAAACATTTTTTTTGTATTGTAGATAATATCACATCAAATATACTGACAATTCACATAGGGATTTATAAAGAAATACTTCATATTTTATCTCTTCTACACAAAAAACACAAGAAAAAGAGTGGTACCTATTTACATAATATTATCAAATTAAAAAACAATTTTTAACTGGTTACAATTTCCAATCTATTTTGATCACTAAACCCTTTCAAAATTAGAATATTATTGCTGAGCTGAAGCCTACAAATAGAAAAAAATAAAGTTACTTTTATGAAGTTAGGGCTAATAACAAAAAACATTCTGGGTGGAAATATTCTCAAAATAATTAATCCTAACAATATATTTTAATAAATTTGAAAATAATATGAACTGATTATATTAGCCAATGAGAAACACAATTATTCAATCTATACATAATGTACTCCATGATATGATTTTGGTAGATTATTTTGATAAAAATTTTTAACAATAATGTTATGATCTATTAGTTTAATACATGTTATGTTAATGTGTTATATGATGATAATGTATGTATTGTTTTCAATAAACCACAAATTTTTTAAGAAAGTTTGTTTATTTTTATTACAGTATGCATATTTTTTAAAACATACACAAATTACCATAGAATCATTTAGAGAACACAGGCAAAAATGGAATTACAACTTGGGCTAGATTTTATAATGACTTCCTTACTAGAGCAATTACTATTTTAATTGGAAAAGAATAAACATTGCTCAATTTTGAGAACAATTTCTGAAGTGGAAATTGAAGTGTCACTAAACTTATTTTAAACTTCAATTGTGGCTTACTCCCATTAAAATAGTAATTACTTTAAGATGTCACCAGAAAATAACTTCAGAACAATATTATTTACTAGATACCAACAATAGTAACTATAACTTCACCAAGTATAATTGGTAAAGACAAAAATAGCAAGAATATTGCATTATAGTAAAGGCTTTTGACAAAATTAAATGGGGAGATTAAGAAAAATTGTGATTCAGAAATAACAGCATCTAAATATGATAATGAATCAATGATGACAAATGAATGATGTCTCTATCACGATTTTAAAAAATGTAATTATCAAGTTTTAAATGAATATTTAGCCTCAATTCCTTGGAACATGGTATTAGATGAATCAGATATAAATTGCTGCTTAGAAAATGTTTACCATATTTTATATGATGCCATCAATATGTTTGTTCCTATCAAAAGGTTTAAATCATTAAACTTTCCAGTTTGGTTTTCACAAGAATTAATTAAGCTTGTCATACAGAAAAAAATAGCTCCCAGGAATTTTAAAACATCAGGCAACTCATATGAAGAATTTTCGGTGTTAAGGGAAATATGTAAATCATTATAAGCAGTATGTTATAAGAACTATTTAGAGAATATTCAAGTAATCTCCACTTTTTTTGGAGGTATCTTATACTACAAGTGGGTCTAGTGCTTATCCTAATGTAATGTCTAATAAAGGTGGGGATGTAATAGCTCAGAATGGTAATAAAATAGTCAATCTATTTGCCAGTTATTTTTCAGCTACATATAATGCTAGTGAGTATAATGTACCTAATTTTAAATTGGACTATAGTGTGGATTTCCAGATTCTGAAGTTTAGTCTGATGTTGTCTAGGGGATTAAGAGTTTAAAAACTACATATTCTTCAGGGCCTGATGGTATACCTGCAGCACTTATTGAACTGTATTGTTCCCTTTGTTAACCTTTACAACAATTTTTAATTTATCATTGTCATCATCAGTATTTCCACAATATTGGAAAAATAGTTTTCTTACACCTATCTATAAAACTGGCAATCGTGAGGGTGTTAACAATTATAGAGGTATAACTATTCAGTCAGCAATCCCGAAACTTCTTGATAAATTGGTATTGAAAAATCTCACCTGGGATTGCCGAAACATAACTATTGATGAACAACATGGTTTTTCTAACAGGAAATCAACTGTAACAAACCTTGTCAATTACCAACAATACTTGTTGGCTGCATTTGAGAATAATGAATAATTCAGGTCAACAGTGTTTAAATTGATTTCTCAAAGGTCTTTGACCAGGTTAATCATAATCTCTTGGTCCATAAACTTCATGCATCTGGCTTTGGTGACCATTGTTAATTGGTAAAAGTTTTCTGATGGGACGTACACAGCAAGTTCATATTAACAATTATATTTCAAAAGAATTTCATGTTATTCTGGTGTACCACAAGGGTCTCATTGTGGTCCCTTGTTTGTTAATTTGTTCATTAACGATATTGGTAAGGCTATCAAAAATTCACACTTTGCTATTTGCTGATGATCCTAAGATATTTCGTTGTATACATAATAAATCGGATAAAGATCTCCTGCAAGATGATGTAAATAATATATGTTTATAATGACCTCCTATTGGATCCTTTCTGCCCAAACATTAATGCTTTCAAAAGGCAAATTTTTGTGATTTGATATATTGTTTTAATGTACAAACTTTAATTGTTTACTTGTTTCTTTGTTATTATTTTGATGTTTATTGTACATGATTTTTAGTTTTTACTATTTGCTGTATTATATTCTAAATGGTTCTACCGTTGAAATAAATAAATATAAGAATTTGTTCCAGTGAAAGTAAATAATGAAAATAATTTGAAAAAATGTATCTGAACAAGAGTTTGCTCAAAGTTTTATACAGTTTTGAGTATTATAGTAACTGTAGAATAAATAAACCAATACAATGCAGTATTTAAAGGTTCCCTATCAAATTAAGCACAAACCAAGTGCTTTACCCTATAAAATAAGCAATTTACTAAGCTGTGGATTTGATTGAAAGCAGAAGTGTATTTTGAAAATTATGTACCTTTTGACATATATTTATGCCATAAAGGAACTAATTGAAATTCAAATATCAAAACCAAAACTTTTAAGACTGTCTGTCCAAAGATATCTGTAGGTTTGGTAATCTACTGGTACCTCACACATTCAATATAGTTTGTAGACCAAGAGGAACCAATGAATATTGAATACAGTTTTAAGAAAAGCACTTTTCATTCTAGGGGTATCATATAGACCATGGACATAATACAGACAACTACAATAATTTAGGAATTTAACGGATCATACCCTTATTTGGCAAATTATATAATAGTAGCAAATAAAGAAAAATAATTATGCCTTTTGTATGAACATAAAATATTAACACAGCTTAAAAAAACCATATAGGAGTAGGTAAACCTAATCTTAAAAGAAGGAAATTAATAAAACTAGACAAACAAGCAGATTGATGACACCAAATAAATGGATGCAGAATACATTATGAATGCAAAAGATAAATTAAATTATCTAATAAGGCTAAAGCTAAACCTATCTATAAGGAAAACAAAATGTAATGTAAAATAACATAGTAAGAAATATATTGTGGTATACGGAAGGAAATTTTCTACTGGATACTTATTTCATTATCAATATTAACATAAGGTACCTAATAGATAATATATTGTAACAAAAATCCCAAAAATTGGAGCACACAAACAGTTTTTAAGTAAAAAGCCAGAAAAACTTTAATAGTATGATAGCATAGAGATGGTTTTAATAAAGAAGACTGTTCCAGTACCATTTATGAAACCAGACCAACAGGCTGAAACAAAGAACAAAAAAGAAAATTGGACTAAAAACATGACAGATTGATTAGAATTAGAATGAACTAAAATAGATACAAAGATGTAGGATATAGATTTTTATATCGCCATAATAATATCGTATTCTCTAATGTTATCTAACCCAAAGCATGTCCCTATCATTTCTAACAAACCAATAAGTAATGAAATACCTACCTTTTCAAAATAATTATTGAAATAAAGAATTTATAAAACATTCTATGACTTACTTAATAATAATTATTATTAAGATAAGCTAGTACTTATTATCAATAGATGGTATTAAAAAAATATGGGAGTGTGTATATACTTAGTTCAATTAAAAAGAACCAGAAAATATTGGATGTATATAATTCATTAAAAAAAATAGAAAATATTGGATCATTTACAAAATAATTACCAAAAATCAAAGAATATAAACTAAGATATACCATATTATGCAGTTTGTGAGTGTTTAAAATACCATTGTATTTTCTACTTACCAATTATTGCAAATTTCATGTTCCACGTTACTTTCCATATTGTCTACTTAAACACCAGAAATTTCACGAACAACACGAGGAAAAAGAAACTGTATTCAACAAAAAACTACTTAAAGAACTATTTAGCTTATTGATGTTAATGCACTGAAAGTTTTACAAATGTGTGTGAAACAAAAAAGTTTGAGATACACTTATTTTTAGAACCGTCCGTGAATATGACTGTGGGTCTAAAGATATCAAAAGTTATTTTGGGAAAAACTGCTGACTATCAATAATCCGAGTCTAGGCTTACGTCTCACTGACATGAAAGTGTTCACCTTATTTTTTGGCAAGGTTTTAAATCTCCAGTTTACTGTTTATCTAAAACTTATCGTTTTTATTGTTTATTAAGATTATCTACTTTAATTCAAGTACTCCGCCTGTAGATATCACACAAACTGTCATGTAAACGCTACAACTCTTTGTTCTGACACCCATCACGGATATTCAGTGAATCCCCTAAATTATTTACAGGGAATTATCAAGGTAAAAGAAATAATTTCACCAGCAAAATTATATAATGCTAAAAACAATTGAGTTATATCAACAAATACATTCATCTGTCAACTGCTTGATTTATTTAAAGGTCGTTTCAAATGATAATAATTATTTGTGCATTTTAATCAGCTGATTAGTCACATTTGAGTAATTGCGTTTACTTGTGTTTTGTGATTACAAGTATGCTGACTGAAAATTGAGTAAAGATAAATTTTTCTATTACCTATTTAATAGACAAGATCATGTGAAGGGCAATCGTGAACTATTCAAATTAATAATCTCTGAAGATATTTAATAATATTTAACCAGAGTCGGACTGCCTCAAAAGACTCAATGAATCGCCCATTGAAAAAGGAACTCATCTTTTTTGAAGTCCTATTGAACTTGAAGGGGTTATTTGTGAAAATAAATCAAAAAGGTGGAAGAGAAAAATGTTAATTAAAAAAGTTTCTTAATATTATATATATATATATATATATATATATATATATATATATATATATATATATATATATATATATATACCTATATATATATATATATATATATATATATATATATTATATATATATATATATTATATATATAATATATATATATATATATATATATATATATATATATATATATATATATATATGCACATGAGTCATATTTTAAAAGGTCTGTTAAAAATAATAAATAAGAGAATATACGAAAGGCTACAGGAGGATATTAGCGAGACACAGTTCGGGTTCCGAAATGGAATGGGTACTCGAGAAGGACTATTGCCATTGCCATCTGCCATCAATATGTTGACTGCCATCAACATATTGATTCAGTGATGTCGGGATGTAAATGTTGATCTACACTTGTGCTTCGTTGACTACGAAAAAGTTTTTGATAAAGTAAGACATGAAAAACTAATATCAATACTTATGAACAAGCGCATTGACAGTAAAATCATAAATATAGTGCAAACATTATATTGGAACCAAAGTGCCATAGTTCAAATTGATGGGCAACACTCAGAAGAAATGAGGATATGTAGAGGAGTTAGACAGGGATGATAAGTCACATCTCTACAAATGGTTTACCAAGATCATCACAAAACGTTTATAACGAAAATTAGATTTCTATCAGTCTAAGGAGCAAGCTGGGTTTAGGAAAGGTTATGGAATAAATGACCACCTACAAGCACTTAAAATACTAATAGAAAAATGTGTTGAATATAATAAACCACTCACGTTGATTTTCATAGACTTCAAGAAAGCTTTTGATACCGTGGAATTACGGGCAGTATTAGGAGCATTAGAACAAAGCCGAATAGACTATAGATATACAAATTTGATAAAACATATATACAACAACGCAACAGCATCTGTTAAACTCCATGACTTTACCGATAAATATAGAATTGAGCGAGGAATTAGACAGGGTGACACCATCTCCCCCCAACTATTCACTGCAGCTCTGGAATATGCCTTTAAAAAACTAGATTGGGCTAAAAGGGGAATAAATATTGATGGTGAATATTTAAGCCACTTGCGCTTTGCAGATGATATTGTCATTATAGCCGAGAGTTTAAATGAAGCTCAAATAATGATGGAAGAACTAAAACCGGCAATAGAACAAATAGGTCTGAACATAAACTTTAAAAAAACAAAATACATGACCAATTTAGTTCCAAGTGATGTTATGAGGGTAGATAGGAACGAAGTACATCAGGTCTTTAGCTATATCTATTTAGGACATGAAATTAGAATAGAAAAAGACAATCAAACTTGTGAGATCCAGCGTCGCATAGGCTTGGGATGGGCAGCATTTGGCAAGATGCGAGGTATTCTAAAAGGAACGCTACCGATTTGCTTGAAGAAAAAGGTTTACAACCAATGCATACTGCCAGTAATAACATATGGTTCCGAAACAATAACTTTAACCAAACATTCTGCAAATAAATTGAGAGTAACCCAAAGAAAAATGGAAAGAGCAATGTTGGGAATAACTAGAAGAGATATGGTACCAAATAGGATAGTGAGAGAGAGGACTAAAGTGACAGATGTCATAGAAAATATTGCACAAGCCAAATGGAGATGGACTGGTCATATAGCACGTTTAAATGATAATAGGTGGACCAAAAGACTCATAGAATGGAGACCTAGAGAAGACAAAAGACACGGAGGCAGACCACCAAAAAGATGGATGGACGACTTGAGAAAAACAGTCGGAAATTGGATACATAAGGCGCAAGATAGAGAACAGTGGATGAACATGGAGGAGAACTAGATCCAACAGTGGATACAAGAGGTTGAGAAATGATGATGATGATGATGAGTAAAACAAAGAGGGCACTAGAGTAAGTTATCCGAATTTTTTCATAACGAGTTTTTACACATGCTAGTCGTAAACGCAATTTTTACATATTCAGGGAAGTTTCAGGTTTAATTGACAATGTATTTTAAGTTAGTCTATAATGTGCCTATTTTAAATAAGTGCATGTGGACAGTGGATTACTAAGGTTTTTTTAATCCATAAATAATAACCTTCACAACAGGTGATAATTTGCTTAATATCAGATGGTCGCACTGTCTTAATATCAGATATCCAATATTATCACAAAAAATTTCAACAAAAATTGTTTTTACATAGAATATCTACTATCATTTCTACGTAGTTAAGGTCGTGTTAACAATTACATTTTAATGTTTTCGTCGACAAAAAGAAATAATTATGCTATAATTTTTGCACTATGTCTGTTTTGCTCAACGGCGCTCCATCAGGGACAATAGCTGCCTGTTAAGTGTCTAGCTAGATTCAGAGTTACATTTTCACCAATTGGTTTCAACATTTAATTAGCCACGTTAAACCAAGTGAAGCTGATCCAGTTGTATTAATATTGGATGGTCACTTCTGCTACACGCGGAACACTGACTTAATAAATTTGGCGCGCCACAACCATGTGGTTATTCTTAGTTGCCGCCGCATTCTACTTACAAAATGCAGCCGCTGGACCTTGCTTTCATGGGGCCTCTTAAAACCTACTACTCGCAGGAAATTGAAAATTGGCTAAGGAACTGATATCACTACCGAAAGAGCGGAATCTGAACATTTAATATACACATTTTTCGAGAACACGACTTTTCCATTCACCATCAAGCGGAAGATGACCGAGTTCCAGTTCCAAATCTACCAGAGGCTAAACAAGAAAATCAAGTAACTCCTCCGAAGCATGTAACTCCTCCAAGAAGTACTGATGCTCCCAAATGTGTCGAAGATTTATCATGTAAGAACATTTCTTATAATAGAGATTCAACAGTGCGGCCACAAGGTCTTAATCCTTTACCCACCACTTCATTTTACAAGTCTAGTATTAAAGAAAGTAAGTCCAGAAAAGGATCTGCTGCCTTGATTACTGGTACACCATACAAAGATGCCTTAGAAAGTAGTTTGTCATAACAGAAGAGAAATAAAAGTATTTCGAAGGGAATTCCGAAATTAAAAATAGACAAATGTGAGTCTTTTAAAAAAACAAATAAAAATAAAGGAAAATCTATTGCCCAGAAGACAATGACAACCAAGGTTGAGGGAGCCTTGTAACTGGCTACTTACATAAGAGGGTTGGAAATCTTTGGATTCCAAGCCTTACTTCAAAGGACTTGTGGATGGATGTATCTTCATAGGTTTGGTTCTTCAGTGACCGTTGAATGATAAGGATTCTTAATATGGGCAAATATAGGTCCAGAGAAATAAAAGCAGTTTTAAGTTTATCGATTTATAATTTAATCTTTTAAGAGTAAAGAGGCCTAACACGGCCGTAACTTACTATACAATATCAAATGTACTCTTTCTTAATAACACGTAAAATAAAACTGATCTTGATCTTACTGAACTGATAGCTGATAGATTACATTACTACTCGTTGTGGCGTGAAAAATATTTAAAAAGGACCAGACGCCAGATTGGCGGGTGTCGCGTAGAAACCTGACTATTCTACACTAAGAAAAAGTTTAAAGAATTACATTTTAATTTTATATTTTTAAAAACTAATATGTTCGTTTCTGGAACAAAGGTTAAAAAGAAAAGTGCTAAGAAAGAGGAAGCTTTTAGTTCATCTGAAGAAGATGAAGAATTCATTTTAGATGATGATTCTAACATGAAGTGTGACATTGGGGAAGAGGAAGCAAAATGTATGTTTTGTACTGGACTCTTCTCTGAAGATACCTCATGCGAACAATGGATTTAGTGCTCAAAGTGTTTTAAGTGGGCTCACCCCGATTGCACCATTGTAGACAAAAAAGACACATATATTTGTAATATCTGCCTTGATGGCTAATTTTATCCCGTTATCCTAATATCCTGTATTAGAAACATCTTTTTGTCTAAATATACCGTTTTTTATAAAAATTTAAATTTTATTTTTTTACTTCTTAGAAATGATTTATCTTCGTTCAATAAATGATTCTCTATAGTATATTACTTTTTTTGCTCTAAAATATTCGTAAATTAATTGACGTATTAAAAC